GGTTAATTTTGTCGGGGGTTTGCTGTAAATTTGATTTATTGTATTAATCTGATTACTTGAAAAGGGCTGCAATGACAGCCGAAACGTTGTAATTTAACTAATTTTTTAAATAAATTATTGCCAGTCTGGTCGACTTTAAAATTGGAGGAGAGATTTTCATATAATGTTATATTATAAGTGTATATATATATATATATACAATAAATATACTTATTAAATTTTTATTTACATTTAGATTTACTTGATATGTAGACTCTAATCTGACTTCTTTCGCTTTTGCCAGCTTTTTTAGTTGTTCTTTATAAGTATACATATAATGTTATATTATATGATAAGTATATATATCTATATATACAATAAATATACTTATTAAATTTTTATTTACATTTAGATTTACTTGATATGTAGACTCTAATCTGACTTCTCTCGCTTTTGCCAGCTTTTTTAGTTGTTCTTTATAAGTATACATATAATGTTATATTATAAGTGTATATATATATATATATATATATACAATAAATATACTTATTAAATTTTTATTTACATTTAGATTTACTTGATATGTAGACTCTAATCTGACTTCTCTCGCTTTTGCCAGCTTTTTTAGTTGTTCTTTATAAGTATACATATAATGTTATATTATAAGTATATATATTGTTGTGTGCCTCGGGAGAGACACTTAAGGGTCGCGCCAAATTGGGATGGGAATCCGGGGCGTCAGGACTTGTCGGGTGTTTGTAGAAAATGCACTACACTTTTTGTATTAAAATTCTTTATTCAACTTCAACCACTTGGTCTTTATTTTATTTCACTATTAATACACTGAAGCTTTATCGTGCGTGCGGCACTGACTTTCTATTACTCCGCGTATCGCGCACAACTGCGAGTCGATGCTAAGTGCGCGCGCGGTTAGCGAGCTCGTGGTTAGAGCGATTATTTGTGTCTGCGACTGAGCGAGCTGTCGCGTCTCTACTCTCTTTTTATATCGTTGTTTTTTGGAGTTTTCCCGATCGGAAGGGGTGCCTGGCAACAGGTTTCCCCGGTCGAGAATCTAGGTGCAAGCGAAGCAGATTCAAAGTCCTTCTGCTTTGCTTGCACGTTGACCAATTTCTGTTCCGCGTATATCTCGCATTGTATGCGTTTTTAACGCGGTCATTATCTGTCGTAATTCTGATTTCGCGTATACCTCGCATCGTATGCGTTTTTTAACGCGGTCATTATCTGTCGTAATTCTGATTCCGCGTATACCTCGCATTGTATGCGTTTTTTAACGCGGTCAGTGTCTGTCGTAATTGCGGATGCAATACGAGTACCCATTTCTTAATATTAGTTAACTTTTAATAGTTATATCTATTGTATATCTTTGGGGGATATAACAATATATATTGTAACCGTTGATTTTATATTGTCCGTCGGATCGAAAAGGATCCGGGAAATAGGGCCGATGTAAGTGGCCGACGGCACACCTTCGGCGCGGAAAGCGGGAAATTCGCGTAAACACAAAAAAATATGTTTGGGCGCCAGGCGCGAGATTCGCGCCACTCTGAAATTTCCAAATCGACAAATGACCTTTATAATCAGTAAAGTATCCCGAAAATTTCCGCGACGGCGATAATCGACTCGCTCAGATCGTCAGGGGGTAGAGGGGGGAGTTCGGACGGGAGAGAGAACGGAATTCGAGAGAGGCTATTTGAAATCGCTCAAATATAACAAACATTAAATATATTTAGACAATGATGAACGAAGATAGACAGAAAAATAATTGTATGAGATCTTGAGTACAATGTTAGGTCAAGAACGAAAAGTAATATTCGTTCGATAGATTCCGGAGAGATCTCCGCTTTAATAACGCCGAAGTACAGATAAACGAGGCCGAAATGTGATTCGAAAAATACAATACGGCGTATGTACGGCCGAGACGCGGCGCGTTGTTATTGTTCCACGCCTTTGAGACGACCCGACGCGATGATATCGGACGACACGCGGGACCCGGAAGTAAATTCGCACGCCTACGTGTCGAATAATTATTAACGCACGAGACTTAATAAGGTCCGTGCGACGTAATTAATTCCGATGGTTTTAGGCAATACAAAATTTCCGTAAACTCGAGTAGGTCCCGCGCGACTTCCTTTGAGATCGCTCACGCCGGTCGTCCCTCGCAATATTTCACAAAGAATCCGAAGACGGCACGGATAAGGATATGCGCGAGAGAGAATACGCTATTTCGGATGCGTGACTCTAAATAATTTTCTATTCCCCGATCTAGAAGCTCTAACAGACGAGAACGGTACAGTAATTACAAGACGATACCTTAATTTTTACATTAACGTGACAAAAATCGCGGCGACTGTCGGCGTATCCGCGGGAGAGAGAGCGCGGTCGGCCGGGCGCCGGGATAAACTCTACGCGGAACGAAACTCTAAATCAAACTCTCAAAATCACGAAATTACCGGTGAATCTATTAACCGGCCGCGGCCGTGACACGCTTCTCTCCCGAATACGGTACTCACAAAAAAGAAAGAAGTTAGCGGCTTTACAAAGTAAATAGGGCCGTTCGTCTCACCGGTATCGGTGGGTCCTTCGAGGCTTCGGCATCCAAAGCAGGAACCTCCGCTCTCGTCGACGCTCCGCCAGACAGTGACGAGCAAGAGGCCTGCCGGGATCACGCCGATACTAAATTTGGCATTTTCCACCCGTGGCGCTCCTTATCCTGGCAGGGCCGCCGGGTACCCCGCGGGGCCCTGCGAATTTTCTTGATGTAAATTTTCCCTCGCCGTTCCTCGGTGTTTCCGCTTCGGGTTCCGTTATTCCTCTTTATGGGCCGTCGGGAAGACTCCTACGAGTGCACCTCTTTGCGATTCCTCCCAAAAATCCGCCAGATCGATTGTTTGATCGATGGTGGGATTTCTGTGTATCCGGATCTGCGGGGCTCGAGGCAGGGTATCTCCCGCGCCTTTCGTTTCCGGGGCTCTCTCGCCTCTCGCGAGAGAGTGGCCATCCCCGTCTCTGGCCGGAATCTCTGCGGAAGAAGGAACATTTTACGGCGGTACACAGGTTCTTAACGGGAGGAGCAATCCAGAAAATCTAGGTGAAAATGATATTTACCGGGCGTGATCCGGACTTGGTGGCTTCTGCTCGGTCCTCAATCGTTCTATTCGTCCTCTCCGTCCTCTCACCCTTTCTCTCTATTGGTTTCTTCGGTTGAGACACGCACCCTAGACAAAATTGCTCGCCGAAAACGCCAAAAATCGCTCAAACAAAAATCATACAAAAAGTAATTCGCGAAACGGATGCGCGAAGCGCATCCTCCGACGCGGTAGTAAACGCAAAAATGGTTTTTCGGGTGCTCTCTCTCTCTCTCAAAGATTGGCGAGAGAGCAAAGGTTCCCGAATTTCCCGCCTTCTCGGCCGGGCCTTCGGCCCTTGTGACGGACAGTACAAAATGTCACGTCACAATATATATATATACAATAAATATACTTATTAAATTTTTATTTACATTTAGATTTACTTGATATGTAGACTCTAATCTGACTTCTCTCGCTTTTGCCAGCTTTTTCAGTTGTTCTAGAGTAAATAAATAAATCAAAATAATAAATAAATCAAAAATAAATATAAATATATATATTGGCTAAACGAGCCAACGCGATGTTACTGCAAAAAATAAAGAAACTGGGAATTCTATCTATCAATTGAGATCACAAAATTCCCCTTATTCCTTATTTTAATCCCACTGTAAATAAATAAATGAGAAAAATATTGGGCCGGAAGTCGGCTGAATCAGGAATCTTAACTTTGGTTATATATTTAATTTATAAAAAGAAATAATTTTACAAAAACGTTTCAAACATATTAGAAAAATCAGAATTCACTTATATGATAAAAGCACGGTAATCTGTGTCTTTAAACACAATCTGTGTTTTATTTAAATCGATTATGATAGATTCGAATTTTGAGGAAAAAATTGTCAAGCATATTTTTTTGCACATTTATATCAAAGATAGAAATTATATCTGTATATTAATCTATTTATATGTGATGAAATCAGTTTAAAATTATTGCTGCAAAATTAAACGTAACAAATATTTTTAAGTATACTTTGTTTTTTTATGACTGCAAGTTTGGAAGTCATGGATCTAACAATGTACAGGAGGTACAGGAGGTACCACGAGTTCTAAACATAAACAGCAACATCTGCAGAATGATCATATATTAATTATTTGTCATGCATACTATATAAATATCTCTTCTCATACGGTGGTCATATAATATATTTTAGAATATGAAGATTTAATATTTTTTATTTTTTGACAAAAATACACACAAAACTGTATCACTTATCTACGTAAAACAGTTCTTGTCGATCCGCAAATATTGTTTTGATTGCTACGATAAATATTTCCTCATTCCTATCAATTTACTCATTATATATTCACCCCGATGAACATTGGAACAAAGTTTCCAATTCCATTACGTTTCATCCTTTTGTGTTTCTATTAATATTTTTTTATTAAAAAAAAGAGCGAATATAAATACACATACATTATATATGTATGTGTACAACCACACACACACACACACACACATATATATATATATATATATATATATATATATATAATATCTGAGAAAAGCGTTTTAAAAAAGCAAGTAATTTTATAATTTTAATAGACGCAATGAGAATAAGATAAATTAATTAAGAGTAACCGTTATCGATTTTGAAAAAAGAAATTTCTCCTTTCAATCGCGCGTATCTCTCAGAATACATGTTATAAACTACAAATTGCGATAAGGATTCGTGAAATGGATGATCGACTTAATTCAACAAATCATTCGCCAAATTGACTTAACACAAAGAAAGTCGATTGGAATTTCTTCGATTGGAAGTTACTGAAGTCTGTCACCCCATTCCAAGATCAATAAAGTCTACATCTGAAATGGGTTTTTTCTTTTCCTGAATCTGTTTTTTGTCAACAAAAAAAGAAGAAGAAGACGAAGAAGACTGATGATAATCTTTTTATTCGATATACAAGAAGAAGCTTGCAGTGTTTCCTCTAAAATTATATATCAAGCCTTCTTATATAATATTATTTGAAGGTACTCTGGCAGTATGATCAGTTCTTAACTATTCATCTGTTCCTTGTCAACAAAAAAAATAAGAAGAAGAAGAATTGATGCCGGAGAACATCTGTTGCTGTCATGGTGATGTTTGCTACTTAAATCATACGAGTACAAAATGGCTAGCTCAAGCAACATGGCGTTTACAAAGAAAATCAAATAGGACGAGTGGCTGAAGATATAAAATCCAAGCACGACTCCTGCAAAAAAAAGAAGAAACGTTACTCGTCAAATGCAGTTATTAAATTGCATAAAAAATTAAAGAATTTAATATATTTTGTCAACGTTTACAATCAAGATAAAGCAACAAAATTTCATAATAAATATGCAGCTTATCTTATTTAAATTAAATAACGTAAGAATCTAGAAAATCTTAAAAATTTGCGTCGTTCGCAAATTTTTTTGAAGAAAGTGGACATAATTATATTTTCTTCGAGCGGATAATTTTGTCAAGAACTAATGTGGCTCTCACTCATTAGATGGCTTCGTGCTGAGATAAATGACATCTAGAATCATCATCTTCAGGATTCTATGTTACACGGAAAATTCATCCAATGTGTATACAAAGCAAATTTCCAAGTCTCCATTATCCAATGATCAGGACCATAAAGGAATAGATAAATTTGTCTATCACGCCAAGGACAAGCAGTAATTTACGTCCGCGCCAAGATGATAAGAAATAAAACATCACACGTCCAGCAACGTCGTTCCATCGATAAAAATCCGACTATTATCTGCAAGATATTCTCTTTTGGACCATAATTGAGAAATGACAAATAATCTATTGGCTTATGAAAATGCTATTCTGAGTATCAACACAATTTTAGCGACGTGGAAGAAAAAGTTTCGAAAAATACGGGTAAAGAAAATTATTGCTTGCTTATTCAGTTCAGTAAAAAATTTGAGATATCAATTCGCTTTTTTATGAATTTTTGTGTGCTTTATTTAATTTATTGCTTCTAATGAATAAGTTTTGGTGGAACGATAAAGAATGTAAATGCGAAAGGATAATGTGTGGCGCGAGAGAATATATTTATTAAATTTACTGAAACATGCAAATATTTAACTTAATAATTATCTTGATAACAATTTCTTATCTGCTGCTTATTTTCCATTAATAAGCATTTATTTCTTACATTATAGTTGCACTGTTGTAAATATAATGCAGATAAGATAATCATATGCATGAATATCTCTCGTACAAGTTATCAATGTAATCAAGTTTAATATTTGTATGCAAAATTAAAAATTTATAATTGAATTTGAATTTGATCTCACGCTGTTATTAAACTATTATTTCGATACTTTAATAACGGCATTTTTCTCTTTTTTCCGCTTCCTCTCCTTTAAAAAAAGTGCATAGTAATTTTTATGTGCACTTTATCACCTTATTATCGTGCAACTTGAGGCAGGTTTCTTTCAAATATTCGTGATCGATCCGACACGTTATATGCCTAAAAATATCTTGTTCGACCACTGAATGTGAACATAAACGCTGTCATCATGTAAAGCCACATTGTCGGCTTGACTGATATACATATGGTTTATCCATCCAAATAATTTTCTGCATACTCTATTGCTGTAAGAAAATTCTACCCGTGGTATCGCCTACAAAACGAATATTGAAATGTAATCGAACGATTTAAAAAAATTGTTAGTGTTTATTTTTCAGCATTAATAGCGAACGTTAAATTATAAAAGATTTAGAGGAAACTTGTATATGTTATACAAAAACTGTATTTGCTAAAAAACAGTGATAAAATAATAAATATATAAGTAAAAAGAGAAGAATATGCTTGACGATTTAAAATTTAAACGATAACATTTATAGTCTACCAAAAGCTGAAATCATCTAAATAAATCTTATCATTAATTTCGTTGATAATTTTCTTTATAGCGTTGAATTCTAAATCAGTTAATGATTTTTTTATAATTTGTTTGTGAATTATTATATTTTATTGTTCCACATACATTAACAGTAAAAAAAATTGCAATACGCATGCCTAGTTTGTAAATGATCTCAGAATATAATCTACAAATTGTTTTAGCTGGCGAGAGCAAACATGAAAAAGAGAGTAAGATTCGAAAGAGAAGAGAAGAGAAAGTTTGTTACGCGCCAACTAACGGGCGAACATATTTTAAAATTGAATTTGAATACTTACAAAGTTTCGCTCTTTTGACTTCCTTTTTCTCAGCACTTGGTGACGTACATTTTTTGAGAGAATTATTACTTTAAAAATAGAAAATTTATATTAAGAAATAAATATAAATGAGGGATCCTGTATATTTAATACATTTTTAATATATATTTAATATATATTTTTAATTATTAATTTTCCATATATTTAATCTACAATAAAGTTATATTTAAATAAATGGATTACTTACCATTTCACTCATTGTCCATGATGAAATGTGAGACAATGATGGTATTAATTCAATTTTTGCATTGCAACCATTTCTAATTTCTGATACGTCTTTAGTTTATAACAGTTGTCTGACAAATTATTAAAATAAATTTAAATGTTTTGAATAAAATATTATATGAAAATTATTAAATAAATTTGAATACCTACAAATTACAATTTTCTGTATTTGATATTTCTGCTGATATTTCTGCTAATGATATATTTTTCTCAAAATAAAAATAAAAATAAAAATAAGATTAAATTAAAATTAATTCCCGACTTGGACATGCAAAGTTTTTGTTATATTTATTACTTATTTATTACTTACATGTGACACCTTGGTGACAATAATCTGTGGACATGGTTCCTCCACGATTTTCTTGGAAGTTTCTCTGAAAAATTATTAAAATATAAATAAATAATTATTAAACGCGACCCGGTTGCCCACATTCACTCACGAAGTTTATTTATTATAGTACTTACTATAAATTAGTCTCTTTCTGCTTGTTTCCAATTGTTCTGAAGGTCCGTTTCCAATGTGGTTCTAAAAAATGATTTAAATGTTTATTATTAATTAGATAATCTAGTTTTGAATACAAATTTTAATTTAATGCTAAATAAAAAAGGTTATTTACGATATATTCGATATTTTTGATTATTTCTCGATTTTACCTCGCATATGAAAATGGTCAAATCTTTTAAAATATTATGGTCTTTTAAAATGTGTTTCTCCAAGTTATAGTAAAATATGGTTAGTTTGAAGGATTTATTCATTTTATTTTCTAATTCTGCAATTATTATCCATTATTAATAATTTTATAATTATTAATTATAATTATAAATTAACAGGTAATACTTACTATTATTACTTTGCAAGGACTCTTTTTCTTTACTATGTTTTTTATCTCTTTATATATGGTCTGGTGATTCAGCAATGCCTTACAAATCTATTTATCGTTGTAAATATATAATTTTTTAATCATTTATTATATCTTTTTGATATATTTAATCATATATTTAAGCTACAACTAAGTTATATTTAAATAAATGAATCACCTTTAAATTAGTCATAGATGAACATTCAGTTATGTTTGTGAAGGGTGGCATATTCACTTCAAGTTGGTACAATGACCTTAAGCCGTCCCTCATTATTTTTGGACTTCTAGATGGTCTGAAAAATTATTAAAATAAATTAAAAATTTTTATAAATTTTTGCAAAGAGAATATAATTTTTATTTGATCATGTGATCATTTTACAATTAATGTGAATACTTACAAACTGGAACTGTTATCCTTTGAGCCAGTATCGATTATATTATTCAGTACATGAAATAAAAATTGAATAAAATTAGAATTATTCCCGACCTGGGCATGCAAAATTTTTATTATATTTATTATTACTTACATCTAACAGCCCTGTTACAGTAATATGAGGAAGTCCCTCAATTTTTTCTCTATTATCTCTAAAAAATTATTAAAATATTAATAATTAATATAATTATGTCTAATCGTTGATATTTGAGATTATCGCGGTGTACAAAAATATTTTAAATAAATATTGTTAAATGCGATCCGATTGCCTACATACTCACGAAGTTTATTTAGTACTTACTTCTTTTTTGTTAATTTGTCTTTGTGATCTGCATTTATTTCATCTTTCAATTTTGATGTAAAAAATGATTAAAATGTTTATCGTTAATTAGATATTTTACTAATTTTGAATACAAATGACAATTTCAAACTAAATAAGAATAATAATTACTTACAATATATTTAAAATAATTGGATTTTCGCTTGCCGCGATCTCGCAGAGCACGAGACACTAATTATTTATAGATTTTTCCCAACCAGTTTATTTTTATCAAAATTATAATAATAGAGCGTTAATTCAAACGTCCCTCTTTGATTTTGGAAGTTCTACAATCATTATCCATTATTAATATTATAATGTAATATAGCATACGTTTCAAATAATTTTATAATTATCAATTAACAAAATTATTACTTCATACTTAGTACTGTTATATAACTTAATAACAACGTTTTATGCCCACAAAATAATTTTTTACCTACTTATAAGTGCTTGAATTAATTCTCGAATAATCGAAATACTAAATATTTAGTTTTATATATGAAAATAAAAACTTAAATATATTAAAATTGATATAAAAAATAGTTGACTTTATAAAATGCTATCTTTATATACCTCTAATATCAATTTCATTCTCGACTGATTCTTGTTTAGACAAATCATTACAATTACTAAAACCATTCTTTCAAAACAAGTTCACGTTCTGATTATACATATTTTTACATATAATTATTAATAAGACATTTTTATAAAAGAATTATAAATTATAAATAATTCTTTTGAATTAAAAACATCTTTTCAGAAGAAAACTCATTTTAGAAATAGTTTAGAGTATCAAATCTTTAATGTTGTATAAATATCTGTTGTATATATATATATATATATATATATATATATATATATTCTTCAAAACGTCATTATATGTGATTGTCGCGAAACGAATCTCTCTCTAATTGTTCTGTTAGGAAGTCGGTTGCGAATTTCGATAACTGCCATTGTTATATGTCTATAAAATTATTATGTACGAAAATTAATAATGCAGATTGTTCCGGATATACTTAGGGAGTTGGTGGACTTTTATAAAATATAATAACAGAAATTTATTGTGAGAAAGGCATACAATTTACTTTACTCATTATGATCAAATCTTCACATGTATATATATATATTAACGATTAAGGAATATAATGGATATTATATCCAAATCATAAGTCACCGTTAAATGTAGAAAACAAAATATCTGAACGGTATATAGAAATTCATTTAAATCAGTCAAACATAAATGTCTTGAAGATATGATAATTTTATGACGTCAAATAAAACATAAGGATTAGACACATATAAATCATGACATCAAATCAAACATAAGTATTAAACATATAAATCAAGACATCAAATCAAACATAAGTATTAAACACATATAAATCAAGACGTCAAATCAAACATAAGTATTAAACACATATAAATCAATTAAAATAACTCAAATAAAAATGACTTTAATATTCTAGAAACGTATAGACTCAGTAAAGTAACTCGAATGTGAATGACTGTAGTATATTTCAGACATATAGACTCAATAAGATAATTCAAATGTAAATGACTTTAATATTTGAGAAGTAAATAGACTTAGTAAATTAACTCAAATGTGAATGACTGTAGTATATTTCAGACATATAGACTCAATAAGATAATTCAAATGTAAATAACTTTAATATTTGAGAAGTAAATAGACTTAGTAAATTTAACAGATACATATGACTTTGGTATCTTTCAAGCATATAGACTTATTACGTTCAATCAATATAATTGACATTAGTATCTTATAAACATATAATCTTTGTGCGCTTAACAATCATAAGTGACGTTAGTATTTTATAAAAAATATAAACTTAGTACGTTAAACAACCATAAGTATCGCAGCAATAAATAAACTCAGTAAGTTAAATCAGACAAAAAGTATCGTAGCAGCGAATAGACTCAATACGTTAAACAGATATAAATGACTTTAATATCCTGGCTAGGTCAGTCTTAAGATTCATAATCAAATTAATAAAATCATGAATACAGGGAAAAGCCCACTTCTTTAGAATCCTGGCTAGGCCAGTCTTAATAGAAACCTGGCTAGGCCAGTCTTAATAGAATCTTGGCTAGGCCAGTCTTGATAGTATCCTGGCTAGGCCAGTCTTGATAGTATCCTGGCTAGGCCAGTCTTGATAGTATCCTGGCTAGGCCAGTCTTGATAGTATCCTGGCTAGGCCAGTCTTAATAGAAACCTGGCTAGGCCAGTCTTAATAGTATCCTGGCTAGGCCAGTCTTGAAAGAATCCTGGCTAGGCCAGTCTTTAAAGATTTGTTACCTTGTCGAATCCTAATCCTTTTAAATAAGAATACAAACTGCTCTTTTTCTTTCCTCATCAGACGAACTCAAAGGAATTTGTCCTCCAAACCAAGGGATATTTCCCGTCTCATGGTTAATCTAAAATGTTCCAAAGCGTCCAAGCTCGTAGTTATCCAAAAAGATTATATATTCAAATCAATCTCTTCTTAACGTCTGAACAGAACGGAAACCTTTTTATTACTGAACAGAAGCGTCTCAACGGACAGTAGAGAATCGACCAAAACAAAGATTCCTAAGCTACGATCACGTTTTCTTTTTTTTTCAAGAGAGGATCGCGAACAGAAGCCGACTCGGCTTGGCGGGACGACGAAGGAAGAGGCTAGCGCCTCACGCGTTCGTCCTAGGCACTAACGGCCTCTCGTAGCGCCTCTTCTTCCGGCGCGCTACGCGTCATTCGCGGAGGCGAATAAGACGCGAGAATCCAAACGTCAGAGAGTTTCCCAACACAGATAAATAAAAGTAAAAAATAGACTTACAGTTAAATCAAGTGAGATGAAATTTTTGACTTGAAGGCTTTCAGATGTTGATTGCTCAAGCTTGCTATAACGAATGGTTCTAAACTCTCAAAAAGACGACCAAGATCGAGACATCATTATCTAAAGCACAGCGAAGGAGTGTGGTCGAGCGCACGACGTACAACTACGTCGCAACAACTTGTATGGCATACGTCAAGTTATAATATCGAGTCACACGGCGGGAACATGGTATTTTGTATGTGCCATGCGCGTGAATAAAGATTAGTTCAGTTAAACGTGGTGTGACAATTATTACAACCATCTCATGAGCAAGACCCCTTTGTTCGCCTCTCCCGCGGCTTTCCTGACACCCGCGAATTCAGGCATTCCAACAAAGAGTCCTCTCCTCAGAAAAACAAACATCCTCACAAGCTGTAAGATAGTGGATGTTTTAATGAGAGAACTCTCTTTGTTGGGATGCCTGGATTCGCGGGTGTCAATTTAAAAGACAGATTAGAACTAGGATGATTTTCTTTCAAATTACCTGATACATCGGAATGTGATGGGTTTTGTTCCTCCATTGTCGTCTCTGTTTGCCCAGAATTTTTTTCTAATTGCAGCTTTTCTTGTCTAATTATGTGATCTAAGATCTCATCTATCCATCTATCCTTATCTTGACTTGGTAGGATGATGCCGTATTTTCTTCCTTCAGCTCGTAAGAGAGGAAGAGATAAATCACTTAATTTCGCCTTGACGAGTTCCATCGATGTGTCTGTAGACATCTTGAAAGCGCGGGGATCTCGCGACTCGTGAGCTCGGTAAACAAAGGCACTAAGAAAAATAAAAATGGCGACTGCTTTTTAGCGCGAACGACGCATTTGATACCAATGGCGTCTAACCGGCACTTTTCGTGACCGTAACAAAGAAAATTTTCGAATGCGATTAAAACACTGAAAATTATAGAAAGCCTCGACCGCCTTTTGGGCAATGCAAGGATTGACTCGTCAGTCTTCGGACAACGCGAGAATATTTCGACAGTCTCTGGACAACGCGAGAATATTTCGACAGTCTTTGGACAACGCGAGAATATTTCGACTCTCAAAAGACGACGGCAAAGTGAGAAAAATAGTTCGTTGTTTATGTTTTTTAAAACTTTAAATCTTAGGTAGTCTATGTATAATATCGTCATAAATTATTGGCAAGCCATTATGTCTGTTTTTAAATTGAGACTATTATTTTGTCTTTTTATAAATATCATTTCTGAAATCAATCTTTTGTTATAAAGTGATTCTTTATCAAGTATTTTTACATCGTCCCAACAAAATTCATGATTATATTTTAAACTATGGTCAGTGATTACAGATTTTTTTACATTCCTGTGTATATTAGATCGATGTTCAGATATTCTAGTGGATAATTTCCTACTAGTCTGACCAACATATGACGCATTACACTCTTTACAATCTATTTTATATATCATATTGGTGTTTGAACACTTAGGAATAGGATCTTTGTGTACTTTTATGTATTTATTCAATTTGTTAAGACTGTAAAATGAGAGTTTAACATTCATGTCTTTAATGATGTTTCTATATTGTTCACTAAGCGCCGGTAAGAATGGGATGCAAAAATACAAGACTTTTTCACTGTGGTCATTATTTTTTGTAGCTGGTTGAAGTTTGGAACGTTCCAGAAGCGATTTTCTAAAAACGGGTTTGTTGCCATTACCCTTTTGCATAGAGCAAGTTCTGAGGGCCAAAAACAAAGTACAGAAACGATTAATGCAATACACGCGTCGGAAGACACCCTTATACTCGAAAAACCACCCCTAAAATCAAATAAAATATTCTTGCACCTCAACAAATGAGTTGTCGCTCTTGTGCTGTTACATAAAGGAACTCCTAAAATCCTTACACAACACACAAGAAAGTACGATTTGATACATGCGTCGGAAGACACCCTTATTCTCGAAAAACAACCCTTAAAATCACTTAAAAGATCCTACATCTCAACGAATGATTTGTCGCCCTTGTGCTTTTGCATAGAGGAGCTCCTAACATTCTTACACAACATACAAAACAGTACGATTCGATACATGCATCGGAAGACACCCTTATACTCGAAAAACAACCCTTAAAATCACTTAAAAGATCCTACATCTCAACGAATGATTTGTCGCCCTTGTGCTTTTGCATAGAGGAGCTCCTAACATTCTTACACAACATACCAAACAGTACGATTTATACTCGTATTTTTCATATAATATTTTCATATAATATTTTAAGTGTACTCAGGATACCTCCCCCCTTCTTACAAATGGTAAAAAGTTGATCTAAATCCGAGAGCAACATCACGTGGCCTCTTCTTGGTAGTGAAAAAAATTATAACTTTAAGTATGTAATTAAAATTTTTCTATAAAAAATTATTATTAATTAAAAAGATAACATTCTTATCTCTTTCTTCTGTAAATTCTTTTCAATTTATATATATATATATATATATATATATATATATATATATATATATATAGAAACTATAGAATCCGACGGAGCAGCCATTATTATATCATCAACGTATCGAAAATATATAGGCGGACTAAACTTTAGTAGTTGTAGAGCTTTATTTTCCAAGTCCTGTAGTACTATATCCGCTATGATAGAAGATAAAGGAGAACCCATTGGTGTGCCGAAGGACTGTCGATAAAAAACATTGTTGAATGTAAAAAACGTAGAATTTAATACGAGGCTTACTCCAATTAAAAATTCAGACTTAGGAAGATTGCAATTATTCTCAATATATTGTCATCTGCTGGAAACACTCTCGAGAGCCAAATCGATAGGTATGTTAGTGAAAAGTGAGATAACGCCAAGAGATAAAAATTTGTAGTCATCTTGGATGTAAACATCAGATATTTTGTTAACCATATCGAAACTATTTTCTATGTGGCTATTACAGACCGGGAAATAATTATTCATAATTTGGTGTAAATGTAATGCTAATTGATATAAAGGAGTATTTATAGAGGATACAATTAGTCTAAACGGACAATTTTCTTTGTGGATTTTTGGTAAACCGTTTGGTAAGCTCTCGGTAATGTTCCCTCACTGAAAGACAAAGATCGATATGTCTGCACCGAAATGTAA